TGTTATTAATCTTGAATCTTGATTTGTTCAATTGATTATCTTACGAAGTTTGTGATAATGCTTTATCGGATTTAGGGTGCATGATAGTAAAAATGATATTATTAGTATTTTTCCTTAAAATATTTGCTTTATGTTCCATTAATCCTTTGGTTGATGTGTTTCTTGACTCGATACACAATACACATTCTTGTGAGATTTGAGCCTAAACAAGTATACCTTCTTATTCTTGCTCATTTATTTGATTGAGTGTGCCAGATTAATTTTGACATTCTAGAAGTTGTGATTAAATACATATCGAGATCACATGTTGAACTTGATGCTTTAAGATGATTAGGGCAACTAGGATTAACCCACTTCTCTACCCAGAGTTGTCTACGTGTTTATTTTTATCTATCAGTAAACCAAATTTGTGTCTTTACCCTTTTCTTTGTTTTTACCACATTATAAAACCTGGAACCTTATATTTTCCCCTCTTTTGTTTCCTTTGTTGAGACAAGAGATAGATTTTCCCATGAACGAAAAATCAAGATAATGAAGGAGAAGCATTCAAAAAACAATTCCGGGTCAAATAAAGTGTTCGAACATAACAAAAAAATACAGTAAAAAATCAGCAAGGAAAAAAAAAGTAGAAGAAAGAAGAAAGTTGATTGTTATGTTTCTTTGAGTTTGTTTACTTTGTTGAATTCGTGGATTGAAATTATATATTTGCATCTCTTGGCTTGACATTTAAATCCAATTTTTCGGCTTTATCCCTACCCTAACCTAAGCCTTGTTATAACCTTATTAAAGACCCTTTGATTAAATGCGTCTTGTTCATTCTAGTGGCGGAGACTTGATTTTCTTACAAGCATATGTTATTGTCTTTATTAATCTTGGCTTTGAGCAATTTCTTTTACCCTAAACACTTTGAGCGACAATGAGTGAATCCTTGCAAGGTATTGAGTCTTGTTACATTGAAATCGATGGATAATTGGGATATCTTGGCTTTTACTTAAAATTCTTACTAGTTATACCTATTTGCTTAATTGTCTCCTTGTTTTCGATAATTGATGTGATCATTTGCTCGTTTAGTTTTCCTTGGTATATTGTGAGGTGAAAGATTGATAATTAGAGATTTCAATAATTGATTAAGACATGCTTGAGGATAAACATTGTATAAGTGAGGGGGAATTTGAGTGTGTTTTATTTTGTTATTAATTAATACGTGTTACTTCCTTTTATAGTGCTAATTTGGGTTATTTACGTTAGATTATGTGTAAGACTCTACTTTCCATAAAACAACAGTTAAAGAGCAAATTAAAGCATATTTATCTTATTTTCTGGGAGTAGTCAGCGCCACCTCTAATTAGAAGACCAATCCAGGTGCCAACTCTAATTAAATAATCCAGTCAGCAAGATCAAAGGAGAAAAGCAAGGCGAACCACAATTCTTTAGGAATTAATAATTGTAATTAAATTCAAACATTTGAGATTTTATTATTTAATTAATTATGATTCTAGTTTGCTTAGAATTTGAATTAGGATTTTAATTACTTATTATTAGGATTTTTAGTTTACTATTAATTAGGAATTAAGTGTTTTAATTTTATTGAGAGTTAGTATTTTATTCTCATTAGGATTATCTCAAAGCTTTAAATACCCTCTAGGGGTAAAGCTTGAGAGGACATGTTCAGAATTTAGTATAGTACTGATTTTGGCTTTTGTTTGTTTTAGGTTTTTAGTTCAATAAAATTATTTTCTTATTCATCTTTTTTCTCTTCCACACGCCAAGTATGAACTCTATCATACTTGGCTAAATTTTTCTCTGTCGATAGCTGAGCTATGACTCGACTTTGGCTTAATCGACGTTGTGATCTACAGAGTGCACATTGGCTTGATCAATGTTGTGATCTACAGTTGGGGAGGAGATTCGGCTTGTGGAAAATTCAATTCCCTAAGAACAAACTTAACGGTGGTCCGTTAAGGGAAATCAAGATCGAGTTTGATTCTCATCGAGACACCATAATCCAACACATGTTTTTCTAGTTCCTAAACCATCATTGGCATTAACATCGATAGACGTTGTTAATCCAAACAAGGACTAAATTGCAAGGATTGGCTTTGTAAAATTAGTTCACTAGAGAGAAGAGCAAGTTACAAGCATTGGGTCTTGTAGACTATAATCGGCAAGTATCCGAAATAAAACCTATTTCATTGATCAAGACAAATTGAGACAAATCAAAACTGGAGGCTATCTCTCATCTTAATTAATTCTCTACAATTTACTTTTCTTATTTTTATTGCTTTCACTTTAGTTTTGTTTTATTTATTTAGTTACTTGATTATTCAAAACCCCTTCTTTTTAATTCTTTTGTTTTACAGGTTTCTTGGTTAGCATCAAATCAAATATAAATTAAAAGTTTCTAAATCCCTGTGGATCAACCCATTCTTTCCTATTCTACGTTTATAACTTACTCATATGAGAAAAATGGCTTATTTATTTGACAATTACGATGCTTGTCAGTATCGATACCAAATTTTAATTTCGATGTTTTGAAAAATACTTGGGTATCGATGCTCCTATTAGGAGTATCGTTACTCTACCCTCAGCATCGATACTCCCCTGAGTACTAGCTACTAGAATTTGCTAAGTGAACCCGATATCGATACTCTTCATGAGAGTATCGATACTCAATCCCCAGTATTGATACCCATTAAAGAAGTATCTATACTTCTAGTTTAAAACCACTTTGTTTTGAACCGTCGGACGAGCACTATCGGTACTATTCTTCCAATACCTCATGCCTAAAAATGCCATGTTTGGACACAAAAAATGACTCTTTAAACTACCCCAAGTGCCCTACTGAGGTTCCCAAACATTTTAAAAATCTTATGTATGATAAAAGGGATCATAATAGGTCTTTAAACATGTTGAAAAACACCAAAAGCTAGAATCTACCATAGATGCTCATTCATGCTTTACAACTCAACTGTCTAGCTAGATGCATTCTAATGACTCACAAATGGTATAAACGAGTTATAAATGTGTTACTTTAGTTCACTAGCCAATGGAGCTGTCCTCAAGTCAACCAAGAGCCAATTTTTCCTTTCCTTTAGCCTTAGAGCTTTCTCCTACCTCTTTCACTATACACAAACAAAGGAAATGAATTACTACCTTGTTTTGAGGCTCATTGAAGGATTAACAACACATCTTAAGGCTTAAATCCCAAAAAAAACGGACTGAAACATCTTTGAGTCTTGAAACCCCAATAAAACCCATCTATGGCTACTATGACTCAAATCTTGTGTTTAGAGCTTAAATTAAAGCTTGAAAGGTGGGGATGACCAATCTTACCTTTCCAAATCCATAATAAGCTTGTAGCACCACAAAGTTTTTATCTTTTGAGTAACTCTTGAGGTGGAAAGGAATAATGAATGGGGAGGTAAAGGACAAAGTGGGTGGAGACTAAGGGGAAGGTCCAACGTGAGGTATAATTGCTCTATTAGTCCTCCATCTTATAACCTAAGATTAAAAATGTCTTTTTTATCTTATATTGGGCTCAACCCAAGTACAAATCCATCCCAATTTGAATCAAGCCTTTACTCAAGTACAAATTTCTAACCTGATATTTGAGGCGTTACAACTTGATCGAGAGAACTTAGCTCTTCAATTCTGACTAGAAAACTCTACGTTTCCACCTCCATTTCAATAACTCCTTCTATCTTCACCTGATTGAAGGCTATGAGTAGAAAACATTATCACAATCATTGGTAAGTGTTGTTTTTTTCCTAATGCTAATAGCTCCCCCCAGCTTTCTGTTAATCTTTTGAAAGTTATATTATTCTACCATTGTAGTGGTATTTCTGAAAATTGAATCCATACAATCCTCTCCGATAAATGATAAGCTCTCGATCAAGGTTCAACTTTTGAGAATATCTCCTATCTGTGTTCCTCTAGTAGCTTAAAGAACTCCAGATCTTCGATTTCTAACAAAAAGCTTCATCCTCCCATGTACTTAAATTTTATTTTCCCAGCCCCCACTTCAGAAATCTTTCTTCTATTTGGCTTGAAATGTACATTGTCGCCATATTGCCTACTAAACACTTACTACATGACCCTGGACATTAGCATATCTCTTTCTTGTATGCTTATCTGAATCTTCACTACTCGATGTCAGCTCGTAATGAATTTAAGTTACTCCCCTTTATCCTTTAGATTATTAGCCTTGACCTTCACGTTTTATTTGCCCTTTTGCCTTTCAAACAACCCGGGAAAATAATCATCATTTTCCATCCATGGTTGAGACCTTTCTCTATATTTTACTTCATTGCTAATCGAAATTCATAAATACTGAATCCGTCAAGCCTTTGCATTGCTCTATTTTCACCCACTTTGATTGAGAACCTTACAAACCCAAATCATTTTCCAGTCTTATCCATTTTTCTAGCTATGTACGAGTCAACAACGTCTCCATGTATTCAAAATACTTGCCTCAATCCACTCAAGTGTAATTTTATCGGGATGTTTTCGAAGAATAACGTGACTATTTGGCTTCCTCTCTCCATTTTTTTGTAAATTGTTTTTATGGGAAGGTACGACCAACCGATGTGAACTTTGGTAGTCTCACATGACTTACCAGAGTTAAATTTGCTGTAACATGACTGTATCCACTTAATTAGCATGTCAATCTAAAGGTAGCCAATAACTTTACGACTGATACACATGCTAACGAATCTCTATATAACTTTTCGAGCATGATCAAGAGACAAGATTTGACTTACATAAAATCATCTCGCCTATATTCTTCTCTGCTCTGCCTTCTTACGGAGACAGAGCATTTCAATTCTGACTAATGATGGAATTTCGACAGACTACAACAATCCACCTAATGATCAGTTTTCAATCGGTTACAACAATAACCTAGAAAAAAGAAAAGAAAACTTGTAAACATTAATAACTAAGAAAAACAAAAAAGAAAAACATTTATAAACATATGGTTTCAAAAGCATAAGTATCCCGGAACCATTTCATAAGCCGAACATACATTAAACTATTTAGGTTTTAATAAAAAGAAGAATTTTGATCCACGACATAGAAGTATGTAGATTACTCTAAGGATGCATGTGTGAGGATAACGTTAAGAAGGTAGAATCCACCGGTGATCTTGAAGGAGAAGAAAGGTAAGGTTTAGGTGGAATTTGCAATACTTCTACACTTCCTTCCAACATCTTGATCACCCTACTCATCGGAGGCCTATCGATCGGATTCGTTTGTATGCACCACAATCCTACTAAGATCATCTTCCTTGCAACCTCAGTTTCTTCTTTAGTCTCCAGGCCTAGAAATTGCGGTTCCATATTGTCTTGCACAACATACCCATAGATCCAATGAGGAAAATATATCTCGCAGCTTTGGTTTACCCCAGCATCCACGTTCATTCTTCCCCCAACCATCTCCAGAACCACCATTCCATAGCTATACACATCAGATTTATGCGAAACGGCCCCCACGCTTCGGCAAAACACTTCCGGAGCAATGTAACCGATTGTGCCTCTAGCTTCCAACATTGATACGATGCTCTCCTTCGTGGTGCATAGTTTCGCAAGCCCGAAATCGGCGATCTTCGGGCGAAAATTTTCGTCCAGGAGAATGTTATGAGGCTTTATGTCGAAATGCAAAATCCGGGTGTTGCAGCTGTGGTGCAAGTATTCGAGCCCTCGGGCTATTCCGATTGCGATTTCGAACAATTCTTCTGATGACAAGTGCTGACGATCCTTCATGGTATTATCCTCTTTATAAATGAATCTTTCTAAAGATCCATTAGGCATGAAGTCATAAACGAGAGCTCGTTTCCGATCCTCTAAACAAAATCCAAGAAGGGTGACGATGTTAACGTGGGAAGTTCGACTGATACTCGCAATCTCATTGATGAATTCTTGACCATCTCCTTTGGTAGTATTAAGCACTTTCACAGCAACAAGATGACCACCTACTAGCTTTCCTTTGTACACGCTTCCATAACCACCTTTTCCTAGTTGTTCCTCAAATGAGTTCGTCATTTTCACGACATCTGAGTAACTGTATCTTCTGGGAGATAAAGTTCCATTGTTTCTTATAAAAGCCTCTATATCTGTATCAGTATTTGTGAACTTACTAATAATAATGCATGGGATCTTTCTTCTGAAATAGAGTGTGATAATGCAGGTGATTAGCAGACTGGTTGCTCCTCCAGTAATTCCTGTCACATAAGCAGAATACCGAGAGAAAATCAGAGCAAATAACGGAAGGTAAGAAATTTGTTTATCTTACTTGGCTAAAATCAGGAGTAAAACCTATCATATAAGCAGAGTGTTCCAACATGAACAGTTATATAATCGGTATTTTATCGAATAAGCATGCACAATTACTAATTATACTACATTATTTTGATCATTTGAAGAAAGCCTTTGGATAAACAGTCGTACCTATAGTGAGCTTTACTGAAAGACTGGAGCCGCTTCCTGTCAAGGATTACATCAATTGATTAACTTACAAATCACGTTCAACTGTTTTTTAACGTAAAAATTAAAAGGCTTCGTTGTGTGTGTGATTGTCTGGCTTTTATATATGAATATCACGCCAGTTTCTTTACTCAGGTAAATTTATTATATTGGTTTCACTCGCTAATCATTAGTTATTTAATGACTTTTATCCACAAAAGGGTCATTTTAACTTAAAATAAAAATTAAAGACTAAAATAATTTTAAAAAATTAGAATATGGGTGTAAAAAGATTTTCATAAAATCTTAGAGACGATTTTAGCATTTTGCCTTAATATTTTGTTGAAGTTCTGAGAAAGGAGGCATAGAGGCGTATGTTAATGAAATGTAAAGGAGGAGATTATTCTCCCCGAGAAAAGGACATCATTTCCATAAATTTCCAAGAAACATACGAAATACTTGCGTTTACTTTGACCCCTAACGCTAAACTGTGGTTGTGGTCTAAATGCTACACGCATTATTTCATGATTTATTTCTTAAAAATAATTGTATTTTTATGTTACTGATGTAATAATGATTTTGAAAAACATTTTGATTGCTTTGACACACATCAGAAGATCAAGATTTGGATTTTATTTTATTTTTCATCATTGAAAAGGTTGAATAAAAACAATTTTGAAAGCTGAATTTATTTGGTTGAAACATGACCAAGATAATTTTGAGTTGTTGATGGTAGAGAAAGAGTTGAAAGGAGCAAGCATACCATGGTGGCAATGAATTTGACGCGGATGATCACGACAATAGCAGGCAAATGCTGCGGGTACAGTCTCGTTGGAACCACAACTTCCGCCCGAATCCTTGCATTTTTTGCAGTAAACTTCGTATGCAAAGTATCTCATGTTGAACGGTTGAAGTAAAGTTTCATTCACAGCGGTGGTTCCGTTGATCAGATCATCAAAAGCCTCTTTCACAACTGGAATTACAACTTTTTCACCATTATCATCACATCCATTTTTCTTCATCCTCAAACAACACAGGGAACTCTTCTCTTCCGTCCCTTGTGCAACTGAAGCTATGATTTGAGTGTAATCCTCTGAATCTGTTGCAGCTGTAAAGCAGAGTGATGTTCTCAGCGCTGAAAGTGTAATTAAAAGCACTGGTTATCAATATCTCCCCAGGACAAGTGCTTAAATTCACTCGTTGGATTGTGAGCAAGCCGAAAGACGCATTGAGATTCAGCACTCGGAATTGTTGGGAACTGAGGGTCAAAACAGGGGGCTCATTCCCCATGCACTCCAGCTTATACTCTTCATCCCCATAGCCGCAATATGAAGGTCGACGAAGATCGTCGGTCCAGAAAGGATACGAAATGTTCCTAATGGTTCCACAGTCGAATGGAGCGCATGAAGTGAAGTGGATATCGTGGCTGGCGCAACACACTTGGAAAATAGTGAATATTAAGAGGGAGAAGGAAGAGAGTGAAAGGAAGAAGGCATCCATGCGTCGTGAAACTATTCTAGTGGAAATGTTTGTTATGTATTTAATAAAAAATAAATGAGAAGCAAAGAAAATTGGGTTGGATTGCAATTTGCTTAGAATTTTCCATGATACCAAGAGAAAGAACCGAGGGGGCGAGGTGCTGACCTTGACTTGTTGAAATATCTTTTTGGATTGGATTTTGGTTCCAAGGGAGCGACGGATGACACACGCAAGCCTACTGCTATATACTTTAACAACAAATCGTTTTCACTTGAAAACCCAATTCTTCCGATTCTACCGGTGGATTTGGCCCACTTGGATAGCCCATTTTTTTGGGCAAAATAAAGTACAAACACTTTTATTTTGGGTTATACGATATTTTCTACAGTTCATAGAACACGTCACGTTGAGGTGACGAGTTCGAATAAAAATATTTTTTATCCAAAATTTTCACTTTGATGTGATAAATTTTAATAAAAAATATATTTTTATTGGAACTCCTTACCTTGAGCTGACGAGTTTGAATAAAAAATATTTTTTATTAGAATTTATCACATTGACGTGACAAGTTCCATAAACATTGTAGAAAATGTCGTAGATCCCAAAATAAACTTATACTTGCTCTATTTTCCCAAATAATTTACCTGTTTGCAGTATTGGGCCAAAAAAACGATTCTAACTCCTCCCTCTCGCCTTCCATATTTTAGACTGACTCAAAATTTTAAATTAATATAATCGTCATAATCTAGGTTAAGAATATTTCTTAGTTATTGAAAATATACAATATGTATACGTAACTATTGGAGTCTGAAACTTTTAAGAAGAACAACCCTTTTAGACTTTTCATGTGTTCAATGAGGGCTGTGAACGAGTAGAGTCGAGCTCAAGTATTGCTGACCTCGACTCGACTCGAAAACTCTGAAATGGATCTTGACTCAACTTGAAAACTCGCGAGCCTAAAGTTTTTAAGTTCGACTCGACTCGAAAATTGTGAAATGGAGCTCGACTCTACTCGAAAACTAGCAAGCCTAAAACTTTCAAGGTCAAATCAAACTCGAAATCATGACTTGGAGCTCGTAAGAGATCGAAAAGGCTCAAAATGAATAAACAATCTTAAATTTAACTCGATCGAAGCCTCAAACTCAAACGTCAACCTTAAATACGTTTAAACTTTATATTGTATTTTAAAAAAATCAACACATAAATATTAATATTATTAATAATTTATTTTTATAAAATAAAATCTTAATATATTATATTTTTGAGCTGCTCACGAGCTTTTCGAGTCGAGTATCAAATAGCTCGTTTCGACTCGTTAAGAACTCGAGTCGAGCTCGAGCTCAAGTCGAGCTCGAGTCGAATTCATTCGGTATTTAGCAGACTTTGATCGTTCTAATCTCGAGTAACTCGTGATCTGTCTTGTCTCATTTACAACCCTAGATTCAATAATGAAGTATAATTTAAATAATACTACAATAGGATGGTGTTATAAATAAGACACGAATATAAATATGTAATATTTTATTTTAAATGAGTATAAATACTTAGATAGTTTCGAGTAAAATTAATTATCTTCAATCTTTTACAGTTCTCGCTATTTACAAGTATATGCAATATTACTAGGGGTACAATCCCTAATAATGAGTCTCCTCGAGATGGAAGGTATTCCAAGAAACTTCACATGTAATCTCCCTCTCTAAATCTCTATTGATCCAAAAAGACTATGCAGAATCTCATTGCTATGATGATAAATGCGTAGCATAAGATTTTCTTTCTGCTATGATGATAAATTTAAGTTTTAATAACAAGCGCGACGGCATAACCCGATTAAGATCCTTGAGTTGGATAATCGGGTTCGGCACCACTTATATGAATATTCATAGCATTAAATGGAAAGGATTGTTAACTTGAAAATGAGAATTTTAAAAGAAAAAGCTTTGGAGACAGTTGAAAGGACCTACATAAGGTAAATACTTCTAAGAAATGAGGTAATTTGTGGACTTATCTTATCCTTTTTCTCTCTAAACATAGGGGTGTTTGCAAACAACCGATAATTGATAGTTGGGAGCTGATTCTAGTAGTTGGTTTGACTAACTGATTTGATTAACTGATTTGAAAAACTGATTTGATTAACTGTTTATATAGAAGTGATTGGTAAAATTTAGCTGATAACTGATATAGGTAAAATGACAAATAAGGGTATGATAGATTTAGTTGTTAAGTACATATATGTTTTAAAATAATTCAGTATTTTATTGGGATAAAATTATTCCGATAAAATGCTTTTGACAAGGATTAAAATTTTCTTAAGAAAATTATTTTCGAAAAATATTTGAGAATCTACAACTAATAAAATAGAATAATAAAATAAATTTTCACTAAAATATATTAGGATGGAGGCTATTTCATTAGATTATGTTTTATGGCAATGATGTAATTATGGAAAAAATAAGGTCAAATATGTCATTTAACATTTTATTTTGCAATAAACTCTTCCAAACCGTTGGATTTTCCAGGGTTTTCATTTTCAGCTTATTTTGAATAATAAGATCTTTTAAAAAAGTGTTTATCAAATACTAAAAATGGAGGGTTTGATTACCAATCACCCCATAATATTATAGTTTTATCACAACCTTTCTTGTTTTCTAGGGTAAATTATACGAGTGGTTCTTTATGTTTTTTTCATTAGATCTTGGTCACTAATTTAAAAAAAAGAATGGTTTGATCCTTTACATTATCGATTCGTTCGATTTTAGTCCCTCAACTATTAACTCTTATTAACCTATTAATAGAAGTCCGCGTTACCAATTAAAAATAAAAAAATACATGTGATTTTTTTCTTCTTCCACCAATTTTTGATACATGCACCACAAGGCTCACATCAAAGAAAGATGGACTAATGCTTGCAATTGATCCACACACAACTAAACCTTGGGAAAGAATACCAAAATAGAAATAAACTTGAGACGACTTTTTGAATAGGATCTAGGTGTCATTTGGTCAACGTTTCTTCTAGAGACACGACCGATAATCTTTTAGCTTTCTAAGGTTCTTGAATCGCATCAATATGATATCAGGAACTCAAGATACATTCATTTTAGTGAAAATAATGCATGCAGAAATTCATATACGAGATTAATACAAGATTTTGTAAATATTATGCATTTTCAATATTTTTCTTGATTATTTGCAATACAATTTAATATAGTATGATGCATTATCTTTTAGGATTAGATTTATTTTATTAAAAATTAAGATAAGGTTAAAATCTTATCTTTAGTTTATTATTATTTTATTAGGAATTAGGATAACATTTTATTGCTATTTTATTATTATTTTAGTCATTAGTCGTAATACAACGAGGAATCCTCACCCTATATAAAGGATGCTCCTCTCACCATTGTAATCACATCTGTTTCTTGAATATAATATAACGAGAGTTCATTTTTGCAAGTGCTGAATGCCTTGTACCTTCGAAGCATTCTTCATCGTTAAGTTCTTTCAAGTTCTTCGTGAGAGAGATCTTCACACTCTGGTTTGCCTCTTCATTGCGATTAGGAGAGTTGGTTAGAGCATATTATTGAGTTTTTCTAGGCAATTGCATCTAGGAGGGTTCATATGACATCTATCTACCCTCATCACTTCCACCACCACCATCATCGTCAAACATCATTAAATTGCACACAATCACCATAAAACCCTAATTTGGCTATTCTTATTTTATCCTTTATTTATCTTATTTCTCTTGTTTGTTAATTCTCTTTGTCTTAATCTCTTGTTCTTTGTTTAGCTTTCCAGCAACTTTATCCAAAACCCTAATTTACAACAAATCTTAAAACTTCATTCTCTTTTGTTCTTTAGTCGAGTGCAGATCTTTCTAGGATTGTTTCCTCAACTATGAGAACGTTCATGTTAACCCCGTAAAAAGAAAAAAAGGTATATTTCATGCCTTTTTACTTGGGTTATTGATTTCGTAAAAGCTCATTTAGTTCCATTTAGTTACATTTTAGCTCATGCAGCTGTATTTCGTGATGTGTTCTTGTTTCTTTCTATTTCTTTAAGAATTTGGTACTTCTTAAAGGGAAATGTGGTGTTTTCGGTGATGATATATGCAGGTGAATAAAGCTGAGGGAGAATTGGAGAAATTTCGTAGCATACTGGGTATGAAGACATTGGATTAATGCTGCAACATTTCTCGATGTCATTCTTAGAATCACAAAAAGATAAAAATCTGAAGATATTTTATTCTTGCTATCACGTGAAATCCATTTACCAGTTGTCCATGTGACCTCTGCAAAGCCAGTTGTCCAGCCCACACATGTGAAGGGAATATTCCCTTACGGACACATAAAGAATTAGGGCACAAAATCCTAGGATCCCCTATTATAAATAGTTAAGGATATTTTCATTTAAAATAAGAATTTTGTAAAGTATGATATAAGAGAGAGAGATAGGGAGAGAAAAATTGTCTGTTCACAAAA